CAAGAGCGAGACGAGAGTGTGTGAGTGTGTGAATATGAATAACATGGACATATATATATACCATGTGAAATGAATGAGTAATCGAATCAAATAATCAGTTTGTAGTAAGACTAGCAGAGTGAATAAATGCGTAGGCCGTAAGCAATATTCAAGCATACATATTTCATACAAGCACAAAACAATAAGGGTACAATAAGTTGTTATAGTGCGGATGACTTTGTCCGCTAAATGAGTTAGCAAAAGGGCTTAACTGCGTTAGATGAGACTAAACTCATTTGCACGTGAGTCGCTATAGTCTATATGCTGAATGAGTTCTCTTGGTATTTCATGAATCACCTTGTTAACCTATGTGACCCCACTTAACCTTGTCTATTTTGTATGTGCATGTTGTCTTACTGTGCTATGATATCCAAGCTATGCAATCCGCACTTAATCAGTTGGCAACTAGTATCTGTAGGTATGACATATGTCTCGCACCTTCTAAGTGCAAAATACTTTTACGAGAAGTTCGTGTATTTGGGTGTAGCTGTTTAACTGCTGATGGTTACGTGAGTGATGAAATCAATTCATATATATAGTGGAAGCCAGAGAGGCTTATGTCAATCTGGATCATCTTTGGCACCTTCGTGATTCTGGTCTAGCTATAAAAGATCAGATGTACAACGCGTTGATGAGAACAGTTTTACTCTAAGCCCACGAAGCCTGGTATTTCTGAGTTGAGGATGTTAGGCAACTACATGTGTTTGATCGTCGCTGACTCTGGAAAGTTGCTGACATTCAGTGGCAACACCATGTTGGTAACGAGGAGTTATGGGAACATGTGTAGAATTTTTAAAAACTGAACTGCTTCTCTTATTATAATTATTTTGTCCCTTTCATACACTAATTTGTATAACGTAATCATTCTCCTTATTTGATTGATACTATTCAATGAATTCTCGTTTATATTTATTTCTAATTTAACAGCAACCTATCGGTATTACATCATTATGTTGGAGTCGATATAAACCTATATTTTTCACAGCTACCACTAAAGGTTCCATAGTTGCATGGTGTGGTATTACTGGATTAACAGGAAAATCTTCATCTGGTTTATTAACAGAAAAAACTCCTTTAAAAATATGGTGGGGTCATAAAGCAATGATTCTTTATTTAACTCTACCACCATTTTGTAAATCTATGGACGATAATAATAATAATGATAAAATTGAACCATTCTTGTGTACAGCATCAGATGATACAACTATTCGATACTTTGCTATTGATATTTCATCATAATTCTATGCTCTATTTATCTTTTGTTTCTTGTTTCCTTTTTGTTTCTGTTATAAAGAAATTCTGTTTGGAAAAGAAACTTATACATATTTTGATATGGTATTCGATCTTCGTCTGATCCGATGTCTATGAAATTGACTTGTTCTATATCTGTTTTTGATTGAGATCGTGGATGTGCACTGCTGAGGAGTCCCACAACAGGACGAAATCGCCGTCCAGGTTTCCAACAGTGGTCTAATATTAATCAGTTCATGATTTCAATCAAAAACTTGATAATCTCCACAACCCCCCATACTACATCTGTTTGTCATAAATTCATTGCTGTCATGAATTATACTGAGAGTAATACACCTCTGTGTAAATATAATTTATGTGACTCTTGAGCGAAGCAATATTAAGATATATTATGTGCTTAGAGGTAGTTGGGAAGAAATTAGGGATTCAACTTTCATGCTATTTAGCACTGATTTTCTTAAGGACTGAAGCTAATAGCAACCCGGATTACTCAGTGATAATGTCTTTGTCTGTGAAGCTTGATGAAACAGGTTGAAACTCCTAGAAAGCATAAATCTTCCAAAGGTCCTATTTAGCATGAAGTCCTTCGTCTCTTACCTCCAACCTCCAACCACCTAACATGAAAATATCTTCCACGTGATTTTGAGTCAATCAAACTAGTTGTCACATCATAACTTGATAAATGAAATTTCACCAACACTGAACAATTAGACAATCATTACTCGGTGACCAATCGATGTAAACACTAAAATATTTCACTGGTAGAGCGTATTCGGCCTGAACCACTAGAAATAATCGCTGAAGATATTCACTGTTTATAGTCTGTTGCTACAGTGGGCAAACGTAACTATTTAAACAAATGTTAAAGATTTTAGAGTAACCTGGGGAATTCCTGGGCTTTTTTTTGCAAGTATACATCATTATCTTTAAGTCAGTTCACTTCTTAAAAGAAGTTTGTTCCTTGATGACTGCCTATCAAGTGTATTACCCTTTCAACAAAATTTTATCGCCTTTCTAAGGAGTTTAGTACTATTATTGAAAAAAATTATGGACACTTCCCTTCAATATCTCGTACTGATGGTCTGATAAAAGCTAATCGAATTTAAATGGAAGGAAGTAACCCTATATAGTTGAAGATGTCATCCAACTTTGAGTTATAGTTTTCTGTCGCGTCGATGGAAGGGAAGCTGTTGATAATCCCTGAAGTCCCCATCAAAAGAATATACAGTAATAGGATAAGAAGATGACGTGACTTTAGATCAATAATTCTGTATCATTTCAGTATTAATTTTGATCAATGTGACAAATCTGAATTCCCATCCAGTGTGATATCATCATTCCTTGTATTAATTCAAGTGTACTGTATTCGGTATATTTTTTCTTAAGTAACTCTGTATATTGCGTATGTAAATGAGCATAGTTCGGTCTAATGACTACTTGTTTTTTAAGGGTGTTCTTTGAAAGGTTAATAAATCTTCATCCACACCAATCTTCAGAGTTATTTTGTGCCATTTTTGCTGTCAAATGTAAGCAGTAGGGAAGTTGAGTACTTTGTACTGATTTTGTTTAGACAAACACTTCAAGAATCATCTTGCCGGGATTTTACCACTAATTCGTATAGATTACTCAATGGAATACAACAACAACCGCACAAACTAGTGGTTTCATAGTGTACTGTTCATGTTTGTAAGGTAAGATTGTATATCAAAATATTATCATTGAGCAACTCTCAAGGTCAAGAAGAGGATAGTTTTTGTCATTGGTTTTTTTAAAAAAACGTATAGATTTATCGGAAATTCCAGATTGATTGTAAATAATTCGAAAAATGAAGAGCTTATCGTAGTTTTGTCGACAATCCACTATCACCGAATTCTGATTCAACGGTCAAACGCTTATTGCCAAGACCTGATGTCTGTAAGGATCGTTACCTTGCACTACTGAAACGTCTCCTCATACTACTAGTGTGGTGTGTGCTACTTATATTGACATATGTAGTATATGATGTTAGTCGTGAACAGAAGGTCTGGCAGCAGAGAGACAAGAGGATCGAACAGTAATGAATGTAAACTGAACGCAATTTGTATGAAAATGCAAGAACAATGAAGTCTTAGTCATTTTGAGACGATTGGTGAACATTTCGCAAATTAAGCATTTACTTTATGATTGTTAGGTGTTATTAACAGGTCTTGTAATTTTGTGTTAAATACATTCGATTGTCGTCACTGGTGTTCTGTTCACTACACTAGAATGAAGCAGTTGTTCAGTGTTTTACTAATTTTCAATATTTATCTAACTAAAGTCAGTTAATATATTGCATGTATATTGCATTGCAAAAATATTTATTTATTTGAACACATAAATATTGGTACAAAGGGGAACCGAATAGATATGCGCCACACAAGTCACTTAATTTGTATGTGTATTATGATACTGGTAGGGTGCCCAGAACGAAACAGGTGGTTTTCTTAGCGGGCCACATCCCCAGCCTTTGACCTAAAGGTCTAATCTACAAGGCAACATAAAGAGATGCAGTCCCATGGTAGTCGGTGACCAACAATTGGTTCATACGCCTTTTGTTCCTTCAGGATCATGCAGACCATGCGCACCATTGGTTTGGAATCAGGGTTTTATATCTCACTTAGGTGGGGTGGATCCTCTGTATTCACCAACCTGGTTAAAGTGCCGGATATTCGCTTTTCATCCTCTCAACTTCGTAAGCAACACCCCCACCACGAAAGGTAGTGGGGAGGATTTTCCTAACATTAACTGTGTACACATGGCCATGTAAGGATATTTCGAGGAGGAAAGCTAACTCTCCCTACCCTCGGCCGCACCAGGGCATTTGGGGGCTCATTGCAAAAATCCACTTAAATAAATATATATGTCACATAGAAAAAATTATTAATAATAATAATAATCATGCATATCAATTAATATTTCTTGTTTGTTCATTATAACATTGAATAACTAGGAAAAAAAAGTTTTTTTTTCTTTTTTTAGCAACATTGAACAAATTCAATAAACAAAATATTACCCAACAACAAACAAACAAACAAATATAGATCAGTTTGTTATATTAAATATCGATTTTTGTTCTTCTTCTAAAAAAGACTAATGGAAGCTAATATGGCATGACAACTGGAACTGTAATGTACACACGTACAAAGTTCTACGTTGTTGTTGTCGTCATTGTTGCTAACTGACTGAATGGAAGCCAAAGAAAAGAAAAAGAAAATATTGTTGCTTACCATCATTTACCTAATATGAATAAATATTAATTCACATGATTATTTGTTTTATTGAATTGAATTGTGTTTTTTGTTTTGTTTTCGTTTTTATAATCAACATGAAGAAAAATTCGAAATTTACAAAAAAATTTTTTGTTTCTATGCAAATTGTTTATTTAACGATCAATAATTGATTTCTTTTTGTTTGTTTTTTTTGCTTGAAAAATTTCTATGTTTGTCATTTTTCTAGTTTCATATTTGAAGTATTCAATGTTCAATAATTAATTATGATCCTTCATACCATTGAACTTTGAATTGTATATGTATATATAATTTTTTTTTTAAAAAATGGAGGTTCATTTGAAGAACTATTTTGAAATGATTAAAATTTGATCCAACTTTCAAATATGCCTCTATACGTGTAAATAATATTAAATAGAGAAATAGGGTAACTATACTTGGTAACTATTTAATTTGTAGTATCTAGTTGGAGATATCTGTAAATAGAAAGAAAAAAGAAAGAGTTTTGTTCGCCTTTTTTCGTTGTTGTTAAAGAAAATAAACAGTGTGTGTATGTGAATTTATTAAAGAAAAGAAGAACAAACTAAATATTGTTTCTGTGGTGTAATGGTTATTATGTTTTGTCTAACATATAGAAGCTTCTCAATTCGTAACTGAGCAGGAGTTAGCTCTCTCTCTCTCGAAATGTCCTTACATGACCATGCGTATACAGTCGATATCAGGGAAATCCTCCCCACTACCTTCTCGTGGTGGGGTGTTGTTTACGAAAGTGAGATGAAATGCGAATATCCAGCACTTTAACCAGGTTGGTGAATACAGAGGATCTACCCCACCTAAAGGAGATGTGAAACGCTGATTCCAAACCAATGGTGCACATGGACTCCATGATCCTGAAGGAACAAATAGTGTATGAACCCACTGTGGGTCAGTGGCTACCATGGAACTGCATCTTCTCTAACACTGCTCTACTGCCTTGTGGACTAGACCTTTAAGTCGAAGGCTCTAGGTGTGGCCTCGGAATGGAATTATAAACTTCTGTTGAATGTCACGGCTAGAATATGCTTAGCGCTTATCAATAAATCATATAACCCAACTTGCTAAGTTGGTTAGTATAAGATAGAAAAATGGTTAGGGCAACCTAAAGAATGTAAATCACTTCAGTTTTCTCTAAATAATAGACTACTGGTTATATTCCTATAGTGTGAAATGCACCCAGTGGTATGGACTGACTCAACGGTCATAAGCAATTGCTGAATAAAGGTTGAATAGCCCCAAATAAGTCATATTATTACAGTCCTGCTATCCTCTATCTTCCTTCAAACCTTCAGCCTAGTGTCAATTCCTATATTGTATCCTTTAAATTATTGTGATTTTTTGCTTAGTGTGATATTCCTTGTGTGTATGTTCAGTGTAACAAATGGGATGCGTTTTGCAGTAATTCTGTATCATATCTACTGTTCGTAGTTATGAAATACTATTAAAATCGATATATGTATAAATGAGTTCATTAAATTAACGTTGTTATCAATTTTTTGTCTTCGTCCTTAAGTGTGCCATGTATATTTCAATTTCTTGTTGTTCTAAATACCGGTTTTTAAAAGTTATAACACTACTGTGCTTAATTCAATCAGATATTAATACTACCCTTCACAAAGGTAATGAGATCAAATACCTAATACTCAAATCTGTGCTTGAGATAACAGCATACGTTAATCAATTCATGTCATTTCGATATGAGATCATTTAAGGATTTGTACTTTCTATGACTGTAAACAATTTGTAGCTAAATAATACTCTCAATCGCTAAGCTACTGTTTCATAACTTCAGTTTCAACATCGTGAGAAAGTATTAGTAGTATTTCTGGACTCTGTTAATCGTGAGATTTTGTGGGAGTGTTTGTCACTGAAAGGAGTATCAAAGAAGTACATTAACCTTATAAAGGCTCTCTACTCGAACACAACTGGTAGAGTGAGAGCTTATGGCGAACTGTCATCAGAATTGATTACCTCAAGTGGTGTTCGTCAGGGCTGCCCACTCTCTCCATTCTTGTTTAACTTTGTGGTCGACGTACTTTTAGATATAACACTTTACTCGTCTAGATTTCCAGGGGTTGAACTTCTACCGGGAGGTTCACTTGTTGACTTAGAATATGCTGATGACATAGTTTTATTTGGTGAAGACGCTGACAAAATGCAGAGTCTTCTGACCACTCTAAGCAACAATGCAAGCATATTCGGGATGCGATTCCCCCCCTCGAAATGCAAAATGTTGCTTCAGGATTGGGTTGCATCGACATCTGAATTAATGATAGGGAGTGAATTAGTTGAGCGTGTCGACTGCTTCACTTATCTTGGAAGTCTCATCAGCCCTTGTGGTCTAGTGTGTGACGAAATCTCAGCACGGATACAGAAGGCTAGACTAGCTTTTGCCAACACGCGTCATTTATGGCGTAGGCGAGATATCCGTCTATCAACCGAAGGACGTGTTTACTGCGCAGCAGTTCGTTCCGTCCTACTTTATGGCAGTGAAACATGGCTGGTAAGAGTAGAGGATATTCGTAGGTTACTAGTATTCGATCATAGATGTCTTCGAAATATTGCTCGTATATCCTGGGACCATCGAGTAATTAATGCAGTTGTTAGGGAACGGGTACTAGTTAAGGATGGCAAATCAATTGGTGAAGTAGTGAAACTTCATCAGTTGAGATGGCTGGGACACGTGTTACGTATGCCCAACGACCGACTGCCTCGACGTGCTATGTTCAGTGGTATAGGAGTAGGTTGGAAGAAAGCTAGGGGCGGCCAAACCAAAACATGGCACAAATAAATGAAGTCACTGACAAGTGGACTGAGTCATATTGGTAGGTGTAGACTACCTGGTTGGGGACCGCGAGATGATAGCAACCGATGGTTAAAGACCTTGAATGACATGGCTCAAAATGGTTTGCAATGGCTCAGGTGCATCCACTCTTTGTGTTCTCCCAAATTCTAATCTTCTGAATTCTTCATACCCATTTCTTGTTTTTCTCCTTCCAGATTTATTTCACTGGATTATACTCCTTGAATAACATCTTCAAACCCTAATTTTTCCGATTGCTGCTTATACGTTTACTACCTCAACCGCTACTATATTGACCGACAGTTGAAAAATGGTCAACTAATCAACATTCACCCATATTACATAAAATAATGGTGTTAATCAGATTTATATTAAGATTGACTCTGATTTATTGATGTAACTCACCATCTACTGTAATATTCACATCTGGTGAAGTTTGTTCTATTGTAACTAGTTCTATTTCCTCTTCTCCTTCATCATTATCATTTGTAGCTGGACTTGGATAAGTTGAACTATGCTTCTCTTTACCAGTTGGAGATGAATCTTCATTTACTTCATTGTTCAACCTTTCAGCAATCCAACCATTTTCTGTTTTCAGCTCTGGAGTTTCTTCTAGGAAATAAAAAGTATTCAAATCTAGGTTTTATCCGACACTAACTAAAATATGCTTTGGGAATTACTTGGTTTGTATGTCTAACCTACTCATGAGTAGTTTAAAGTTACTTTCGAAAATTGGGATTTAAAGAAGGTCAAAATTACAATTCTACTCCGGACACATTTATGCTAACGTCACTACAAATATCTTTGTGAAGTGGAACTAAATGATTTTAGGTCACATGGAAGATTTTTTGTTCAACTGCTTCTAATAACTTAGAGCACAACCGAATGAAGTGGAACATGGAGACATAGTCAACTCGATGAAGTTTTTATTGTCAACTGTTTTTACTAGATATATAACCATTGAAAACTATCGAACATTTCGTCAATATGTTATTTATTTACAATCGATTTTTTTTCACACAGTATAACCTTCCAATAAACATTTGATCGAATTGTAATTGCACTATTGTTTCTCCCACCCTATCTGACCCCATATTTATTGGGATCATGGATCTTAACCTATTCACTTAACATATAAGCAGGTTCAAGTTAACATTCCATATGAGTCTTACCAGCACGAACTATTTTATTCCATTTTGTTTAACAATCTTACAGTTTACGCGTTTTAACTTGAAACGAAGTGCTTTACCTTTAACCTGGCCATTGTTGCAGTTTATTAATTTCGATTATATAATTGTAGAACCTGAAGAGAATTTATCGTAAAGAATACACAGATTAGCTTAAATTGTTGTGTATTGTATTGATGTCGACAGATGTGTAGTGACTCACATTTATCACGAGAACAGGACTGGTTTAATAAAAACAATTATTATTATAACCAACTGTACCAGTGTTTGTTTTAATGTGCTTTTGTTTGACTGTGCTAATGACAGCTATATTTTGCTTCTATTCTTATACACACACTTTGATTGTGACTTCGCGCGAATTCGGTTACGTTCTGTAACCAAGCTTGTATCCTGGCACGATCTCGGTATCCTTTCAATACCACGAGATCGCCAGCAAATATATCTCCACTTGGTCCATTAACTGCCTTCTAATATTTGGCTTCTCGGGGATTTTATGGATTTATTTGGTTACGTTCAACCTTCGCCTTCTGATTTACTTGGCACGTGTTTCTTTGTAGCGGTGTTCATAGTTACCCTCAACTCGACACCACGCTACAGATGTAAGTGGTATGTACCACCGATCAAAAGTTAAACACATTGCGGCAGAAAGTTAAGAAAATCAAAGAAAACAGAATGAGAACAGAGAATAATTGTTGTAGAAACGAATGAACAGTCAAGTTTAAGATAATTGATTGACCTTTTGCAAATGAACTATTTACTGTATGGTTCACAGATTTTACTAAGACATTCTGTAATTTGTGTGTTCAATTACATTCGATTGTCCCCACTTGTGTTCTCGTTCACTACAATAATATTGAATCCAGGTAGTGACACCCATGTAGTGTGAGACGCACCTCCCCGATTCCACTGCTCGTCAGCATTCATCTTTGTCTATAAGAGAACAAGTATTTTCCACGTTCGATTTTTGTTGATTCATTTTTTACCCTATTAACTATAATCACAAGTTATGACTATAATGATAAATTGGTTGATTACAATACGTACTTTTGTCTAGAACTCCACCTGGAACCCCTCTGTGGCTACCACCAGTCCCAAGCCCGGATAAATGAGGTGTGTTAAGCATGAGGTTATCGACCCCATCCAGTAGAAAACTAACTCGCTAAAAAAAACGCTAACTAAAAAAAATTAATCAAACCACTTTTGTCTAGTGAATTTCGATGAACAAAGGAACAATATTTTTCTATGATAAAAACTTCAATTATGACAGAATAATAGTAAAATAGGGTTAAGATAGTGTGGTGTGTGTTACTGATGTCAATAGATATAAGTAGTATGTATCATCAATCGAAAGTTGAATGCCTTGTAGTGTCGTTTATTATGTTAAGCCCATATACCTTATTCTAGCTTTCGCACAGCCCATTCTATTCATTCTACTTGAGTCACATACTGACCTTGTTGTTTATTCGCTTATCAATCTTGACTGTTTTTATATGAGCGCGTAGGTGTGTGTTCATTTCTTATCCCATTACTCGTCACATATCTGTAACTTACTTTTGTGTAACTATAAATTTTGGTTAAATGGGAGTTGGCTTACCAGCCATCTCCACTCTGCGTCGTTTCTCTTCTTTCTATTCCATTCGCTTTATATACAAAATATATGTGTTCAAAAGTCCATTCTCGTTATTTGGCTTATTTAATTCCGTTATTGACTAACGTGATTTAAGTCGATGATGATATACGAAAATAGGCGATAACAAACATTCATACGATGTAATTGGAGTCAGATCCATGGACCACTAAAGCCTAATGGTAGAAAGTTAAGTAGATTGACGAAGAGACAACGAGAACAGAGAGTGATTAATGTGGAAATGAAAGAAGGTTCGTAGATTTGTATTGTTCAAATACATTCGATTGTCCCCACCCCCTTGACTACAAAATACTCTTATATTCATATTTAAGAATAAATTGATCATAATAATCAATACTTACGTTCTATTGTTCCAGTATTTGGTACAACAATTACAGCATAACCATTCGATTTAACTGATATATGTTCATTAATTAATTTAGAATTTGATTGATTTAATGGAATTTTACGATGACGTTGATTAGGTAATTGTGTTGAACCAATTATTAATTGAGGTAAATGTTCTATTCCATTTGAATTGAATTGTTTTAATGGAAATTCATCTGAATTAACACGTTTTATACGTTGAGGTGATTGACTTTTTTCACGTCTCTCTGAACCGATATATTTATAAGCACCCTTTGTATTTAGTTATATTTAACAAACAAACAAACAAAAGAAGTTTGAGTAAGATTATAGGTATGAATTCCTTTATATGATAAGATTATAATATTGTGGACGAACCAAGCAGATTTAAGATAACAGGTCCAGTTGGTTAAAAATGGAGTCGCTAACCCTATGCCCAATCCTTCTTCTTTACCTGAGCTTGGGAACGTCAGTAACTCTAGAAGAGCTACATGCTACAGGATGCATAACAAATGAAAAGATCTGGAAAAGATTGCCCAGGACAGGGTTAGGTAGAGAATGCTGGTAGGCGGCGTATGCTCCCCCACGAGGAGTAACAGGCGTAAGTAAGTATTATATATAATGTTATATTTTAAGTCTATGGTGGTGTACTTCATTTGAACAATTCTCAGAGTGACAAAAGTTGTTCGTTTTGTGCCAAATAGCACGAAACCCGGGTCCACGGTATCCTGTTGAATACTTCCAACCACCATCCTATGTCAACATAGAGCACGCAATGTCTAGTCACCTAGACTAATGAACACCGAATTCATAGAAGTTGACAATTAAATGTGAAAAAACTTCTAAGTTAAGTGTAACCATTATGTACAAACAAAATTTGTTAGATTCTCATGATTGATTCTTCAATTTGACAATCTATGTATTCAATTAACTAGCAAGGGAATATAAACCTCTAGGTAAATTTTCCGCGTCATTTATAGTCACTAACAACATAGTGTAGTTTAACACTGTTGATATTCAACTTGATCTGGGTCCTGATGTAGATTAAATTAATTACGATCTAATTACATTGGCTTTGCTTCGTTAATCAATCACTTTTGTAACTGTTATTATATAAATCTCAACAGTGTTTTGAAATCAGAAGGCAATAAGATGCGGCGACTACAGTTTATTTGCGGATAGAACAGATAACAAACAAATTCAAAGCGGAGAGGCGAATATGTGTATACGAGCAAATGCGGAGGCAAATTTATAGTCAAATCGAATAAGGCGCAGCTAGGCAATACAAAGGCTAATAATAGTATTCAAGTACGTATATACATGGGGAAAAGAATGAATCATCGAGCGATATTTAGGCGGTTAGCATTTTAGCTAGAGAGAGATATGCACGTAGGCTGTCATGTGATCAAGGTAAACGTTTATGCAGATATGATAGTGATCATAATAGTACAAAGATATAAGCGAATTGTTACTGTTCCAATAACATTGTCTGTTAAGTAAGTTAATAAAAGGGTTTGACAAAAGTTAATCGTATTTGAAATGGGTTGTAGGATAGTTGCTTTATCACAATTGATTGATCACTGGGTGGTGATCAATGTCATGCTTGTCTAGTTCTTATTAGTGCAGACCGAATGCTATCGATCATGTTGACTACCTCCAACCACCATCTAATAGTTGCTTTATACTAAGGGATGATAGAATCAGTCAGTACGTTGGCAACAACGCAGAACGTCGTATGTACGTACATCAGTTCAAGTTGCCATACCACATGATAGAATAAAGTCATATAATGAATAAGTATTTAATCTAGACTTGATTTGATTTGAAAATAAACACTTTTTTTAAGAGAAATAATAGAATATAGGAAAGAGTATAAATCAGAATTAAGTAGACTAGGATCTTTGGATCACATTCATCCAAAAGCATATTATTATTTGTTTATTTTCCAATCACTTGATGGCGTATTTTTACAATTATGAGACTGAATAATAATGTTCGCCCATCTCTGATATAAATTCTTCAAAGTTTTTGCATAGAATGTGATATTTTTGTAAGCACCAGTGTTTTCACTGGTTGTTGAACTTATTTACGCCCCTTACCCTTCGTGGAGGAGAACAGTCCATGCACTAGCTTTCTTCATTCAACTCTGTCCTGAACAATCCTTTCCAGTTGTCTCCATGTTCTGTCCATCCTTTTCATGTTTGCTTCCAATTCTCGAAGTAATGTGTTCTTCAACCTTCCTCTTTTCCATTTCTCCTCAGGATTCCAAGTTGAGACATACCTCCCGATGCAGTTTGGTGATTTTTTCAATGTATGTTCTATCCACTTCCAGCGTCTTTTACTAATTTGCTTTTCAAATGGAAACTGGTTTGTCCTCTCCCACAGAAGGCTGTTGCTGATGGTATCTGGCCAACAACGGTCATTGAGTTTCTTGCGTAGATAACTATTAATAAATACTTGTACCTTCTCGATAATGGTTGTAGTTGTTCTCCAAGTTTCAGCTCCATACAGTAGGATTGTCTTGATGTTCGTATTAAAGATTCTGATTTTGATATTAGTTGTCCGTTGTTTTGAGTTCCATATGTTCTCCAACTGTAGGAATTCTATCCTTGCTTCGCCAATCCTTGCGTTTATGTCTGCATCAGATCCTCCTTGTCCATCGATGATGCTTTCCAGGTACGTGAAATATTCCACATCTTCCAGAGCTTCTCCATGAAGTGTGATTGTGTTGGTGTTCTCTGTGTTGTATTTGAGGGTCATGCTTTTTCCCTGGTGTACGTTGTGGCCTACTGCTGCACAGGCTGCTGCTACAGTGGTTGCCTTTATCTGCATTTGTTCGTGTGCATGGGATAGGAGGACCAGGTCATCTGCAAAGTTTGAATCGTGTGATTGCATCCAAGCTGTCCACTGTATTCCGTGCTTCCCTTTAGATGTGGAGGTCTTCACAATCTAGTTGACCACCTGAAGAGATAGAAAAGGCGAAAGTAGGCAGTCTTGTTTGACTCACTTGAAATGCATCTGTCAGTTGTGCTACATGCACCACTTTACAGTGTAGTCCGTCGTATGAATTCCGGATGATATTGACATTCTTTTCAAGTACACCATAATGTTAAAGAAGTTTCCATAAGGTCCTTTTATCTATACTGTCAAACGCCTTCTCATGGTTAATGAAGCTGAGGAATTAGTGACGAGTTCCACTCAACTGATTGCTCAGCGATGATCCCTAATGTCGTGATTTGGTCTGTGCACAACCGATCCTTACGGAATTCAACCTGTTGATTTTGATGTTGGGCGTCTATTGGGTCTTTCACCGAGTTCAACAAAACTCTGTTCAAAACCTTTCTTGCTAATGACAACAATATGATTCCTCTGCAGCTGATTTCTCACACTTACTCACATTTCTTAATGAGGTGTCCTTCTTTCCTGTCCATCAGCATTTGTTCTTCCCCCAAATCTTCCTAAATACATGCTTGCAGTTATTTCTATGTCTGACTTCAGAGTTTCAGCTGGTATATTATCAAGTCTTACTGCTTTCCCACTCTTGATTTGTTTAATAGTAATCCGAATTTCCTCGATCGTTAGTGAAGTGACATCTATAGAAAGGAATGGTTGTTCAAAGTTAAGAAAAAATTACCTGAGTGTTTTAACTCTTACTCTTTAAATAGTATCCATCCTAAAAAAATGATTCAAACTATTTACATATCAATAAACAAGAAGAAAAATAGACAAAGTAAACACTTTACAACTAACACTGTCTAATACCATACTATTTATACTATTCAAATGAATTAATATTTATCTAAACTGAAATTTTGGACAAAATATAGATATCCAACGGTGTTAATGTCTAACTTCCACTAATCCACGAAACTGAGTTCATGGAGTTCAACCGGGTCAGTTGTGAGATAGTAACTCACTGAAGACAATGGTAGATTTGTCGCTCAATTCCGTGGACTAGTTTAAGTTAAACATTAACACCTTAGAAGGCCGGTCAGCTCAGTGTTCTAGTGGTTAAGTGCTCGCGTGCGAGGCCAGTAGGTCCTGGGTTTGAATCCCGGGGGGAGCGGGATCGTGGATGCCCACTGCTGAAGAGTCCCACAATAGAACGAAACGGCCATCCAGTGCCTCCAGGTTTTCAATGGTGTTCTAGCTTCAATTGACTCATGATGTCAACAATTGAAATTACTAAAATCTGCACAAAACCCCCTTGTGATAAATTCTCCTTATCACTCAAGGAAAAAATTGATAATACAGTTGACGATAACTTCAACATGAACGAAATTCATATGATCATAATTAATATGGTTTATATCAGAAACGACAACGAGACTGCTGAGAACCTTTGGAATAGATGTTGAACACAAACTAATCAAATTCCTACAATCAATTCTATGCAAACCAAAGAATGATATGACGAAAGAAGACAAACTAAACATCATTTATAAAATAAATTGTGACAACTGCAAAAGATACTACATCGGACAAAGCGAACGCCCTCTTCATCTTCGCCTGCATGAACAACAATTAGCAGTCAAACGCCATGACATATCCTCGCTTATATCAATGCACATGGACAACTGTGGACACGCATTCGACTGAAAAAATGTGAATATTTTGGATAGAGGAAATCCTGATAACACCAGAGAATTTTTCGAAGTTTACCACTGAAGTCAGTCAGAAATAAACAAGCACATTGAAATCAATCCAATTTATCAATCGATCAGGAAAACTATGCTCAAACATAGGAACAAAAATCAAACCAATGTAAAATACACTTAAAACAAAGAAGTAAACAATGGCAGGTTAAAGATCAACAAGAACTAATCAACATCGAGGTGTACAAGACAAGCTGTGAACCACATGTGAAGAAATTCGAACACTTCACTTCTATCTGAAGTTTGTGCTGATGATGTGGTTCAGTAGAACAATGAAAGCTCCATGACCAAACCATTCAAATCCGAGAACAAAACTCCATCATAACATGGTTTATTTGTTTGTTTGAATCGAAAGTGATAGTACTCTCTTGCTAACAAAACAAGAGATAGAATTGTAAAACAAACAAAAACAAAGTTGTTGCATATTGGAAAATAATAATGAATATTATTAGATTGAATAGAATGGGATAAGGGAAACCAATAGTTAACTTGTATCATAATATTCTGTTGATGAAATCTGGCTTTGACTTCGATTTCATATGGGCCTATGTGTTTTTTTAAAAAAGAATTGAGATGTACAATAAAGAAGATACTTGATGGAATACTTTGCTTCATATAGGTTTCATACTAGTTGGTACTCATTAGCAGAGTGTACTTTTGTTCTTGAATGGACTGATACTCTATGTGTGATTCGAATTTGAGTGGTACAACACATTGCAAGCTGTTACCATTGATCGGGTTGTGAGTGACCATTTGTACATTGAGTAACAATCAATCAACCACTTTTGGAATCATATGCAGTATATTAAGATGCTAAGTGTTTATATGTCAGATTATTCAAACTAGCAGCTATATTTCGACTTGGTTTGTAGAACTTGATCAATTTTAAAGGACTAGACAAACATATCTGCCATAACTACTTAGTAATCAGTTAGTTATTTACTAGTGTTGAATTGCAAAATCGAATAGAACAACTGTTGATTGTTACGATTGGTGGGGATTATCTACTATTAATTAATTTCAATAGTTGAGATCATGAGTCAATTGAAGCTAGAATATCATGGAAAACCTGGAAGCACTGGACGGCCGTATCTTCCTATTTTGGGACACCTCAGCAGTGCACAGATAGTGACTCACTGAAGATAATGGTTGGTGTGTTGCTCAATTCCGTGGATTAGTTGGAGTTAGGTATCAACATCATTGGATGCCGGCTCAGTGGTCTGGAGGTTAAGCGTTCGCTCACGAGACCGATAGGTCCTGGGTTCGAATTTCGCGAGACAGGATCGTGGATGAGTAATGCTGAGGAGTCCCACAATAGAACGAAACGACCGTCCAGTGCTTCCAGGTTTTCCATGGTGGTCTAACTTCAATCGACTCATGATCTCAACTACTGAAATTAATATGATATCCACAAAATCCCATTTTGATGTTAACTAATTGTTAAATGGTTATTCTTGACTCGCTTATGAATGCTCATCGATCCTTATTGTAATAGTTTATTTAAAAAAATTTAAAACATATCAGTCAATCAGCTACAACGTAGGACCAGGCACATATGTGCATCTCTCCAAGCTGCAATACCTCATTAGTGCAACAAGATGAACACCAAATTCATAGAAGTAGTTAATTCAATGGTGGCAATACAGAAAAGAAAGATTGCATATAAGGATATAGTACAGGAAGAAAGAGTTAGTTCGTAGAAAGTTATGAAGCGATTTTAATCCCATAGTTTAAGGGAAGACAGAGAGTTTATGCACCTACACCATTGTGATCTATTCTGATCCATGTCACCCACAGTCTCTGTCCCTTGGTTACGAAGTCGTGCGGACTCCAACCAAGTAGTCTGCATCTATCAACATGGCTCAGATTAGAAGTTAGTGACTTCAAGCACTGGTGCAACGTTTTGGTTTGCCCACCCTTGACTTTCTTCCAACCATCCCCAACATATTCATCAAATTAAGAAAACACATCCGAAAAAACGCATGAGAAAACGTATCTCTCTTACTTGAGGTCGTGCTGTTACTGTATTAACATAACGACTTGACTTTGAAACTGGTGGTAGCTTTTCATTTCGATCAGAATCTTTATCTAAATTCTCTTCATCTTTCCCTGCTGACAAATCATTATTATTTACTAAATGTTGACTTTCTAGTATTGGCGAACCACGATAGATATGACCATCCATACCTTGTAAATTAAGAGTTTCTCTAGAGAACAAAAAGAAGACAATTTCGAATGAAAGCAAGAAGAAACTAAATAGACAATAAAGATGATGAAGAATATTTTTAATTCAGGAGAAAGAGGTCGAAAGCGTTGTGTCCTCTGAACTGAATAGTTTAGTTGTGAAGTTTTCGTTGTCTTTCTAGATAGTAAAATCAGTACATACTTCGAAATGAAACAAGCTATAAGAATTACTCTACAATTGACAAATACTTTGTATTTTTCCTGAGATTCGATTAGTTAATGTCCAGAATTTTGTAGTTGTTGTCTGGACTTTTATTTTAGTTAACTTATTGCTGTGCTTTATCTCTGACCTCACGGTCGTTTATCTCTTTTTTTAGTGAATCAGAGACTAGATCGATTTTGACCTGTCTTTTAATTGATGCGTAGCAAGAATCCCAGGTTCTTTATGATTCTCTGACTTCGTTTCGTTCGAAGAGGCCCATAAATGCCCTGGCACGGCCGAGGGTGGGGAGAATTAGCTCTTCCTCTCGAAATGCTCTCAAACGGTCACGTATATAGAGTCACTGTTGAAGAAGTTCTACTCACTACCTTCTCGTGGCATTACTGTTGTTTACGAAATTGAGAGGATTACTCAGCAGTGATTAATCACGACCTATCCCAGATTCGAAGTCAAGAATTTCAGCTCTCTCTGGAGATTTCTAGTATAACTGTTGTCACCAATCTCATTGGGAGATCATAATTTTATAACATAAGTTGATTAAAACCGGAAGCCATCTTAGGGGTTCTAGTGGCAATGTTTATCGCGTGACCCGAAGGTTCTACATTCTGTTGCTGATATGACTGCGGGTTAGTACCACCATGGAATCCCATATTATGTTTGAAATCTGTTTGGTTCATCCTGGTTTTCAGTGTTTAGTCAATTAGTCAAGTGTAACGTAAAACTTGGCACATATATAACCACTACAATAAAGCAGAGTGGTGAAATTACCAAGATAAATCCCACAGTTGTAGAAATGGTAACAACATCAGTAGTAGTAGTCGTAGTCGTAGTAGTAGTAGTATAAAAGATAATAAAACTATATTGCATAAGTGAATAACTTCATCATTTCAACATTTAATCTGCTGTCATTATACAAAATTCCATAACATTCGGATTACCTGTGAGTATATGGAATGGAAGACTTTGTTGTGACATCACCATCATGAAGAGAGCTAAATGAAAATAATTAAAATGTTATGTTGTTTTAATATATGAATTGATCATGCTAATATGAGAGTATGTTGTTTATTAGATCGAAACTTAGAACGTAACAAGCTGATTACTGAATCTCATCAGAATCTTGAATTGGAACTTTGTTGACTGGGCTACAAAACTTAACTGTTAAATAAAAATCAACTTCACTTTAGTCTCTCAGTGTCACAGTGGAAAAGTTCCCGTGAAACGTTTGTCACTAGTACCGTTCGTCTACGAAAGAAAGAGCATATTGTACGGTAGTTCACTCTGTATTACTCTGTCTCTGAAAAACATGGATTGCTAATGTTCAGTCATTGATCTCTTCGAGTCAATGTCTACATTTGCTGAAACCATAGAATAATGTCAGGATTAGGCATAAGTTCACTAGGTTTAAATGCCTGTTTGGTTTGCATTATTTTTGAAATTTCATCAACTGAAATCGTTGGATTATGTTTTACTCATGGTAAGGGGCCGCTAGTTCGGATGCTTTATGCTCTCTGCTATTGGAGTAAACTATAAAAATAGGCCGACAGTAAGAAGATCGAAATTTGGCATCAATTCACGAAGGTATTAACTGTTAGACTAAAATATATTTCGAAGTGCATAGATCCATCTTGCGGCCCATTTCGTTTTGGTAACCGATAATTGAAAAGCTTAAGCTACATAGAACAAAATTAGTTCCACTGATGCAGGTATACACGATTATTCAACACATTTTGCCAGTGAAAAACCAAGAAATGCCTAAAAAGTCATAATTAACAAACCAAATAATGTTTACACAAATCCTAGTTAAGTATACATCAGTCCTTCTAGCCTAGACAAGGAAATATAGGCTAAGACCATGATGAAATGGATTATAAGTATTCTCCACTAGTATGGAATGTTTATAGTCTTTTACCTGAAGGGAAGCGGAAAAAAGGAATGCCAAAGAACATACTACGTCGGGAAATAGAAGCAGATATGAAAAGGATGAATAACAACTAGAAAGAACTGGAAAGCAATGCCTAGGACATGGTTGGATGGAGGGTGTTGTCGGGCGGTCTTCACGAGGAGTAACAGGCGTAAGTAAGTAACCTATCGTTTGGACCTTAGATACCATGTTAGCATATACACTTAATAGGTCTAGACTCGGTTAATCAATCACTCTGAATGTTCATAGTTTTGAAGAACAGAAATATCAGTAGGTTGATTGAAATAAGTTTCATTATTCTTCATGTGAGAATTGTCTCAACACGTTGTAATTTAAGATCTAATAATTAGAATTTAGATTTGAATAATACTGACAACATCAGTCTGACTAAATCAGTTCATTGAACAATGATCTTTTACTTACTGACAGTTAATATAAAGTTAGATATATTAGAGTTTTGATAGAAAATTGTGCGTTATACAGTCAATAGATGAGAATAACAAATGATCATAGCCATAATGTGTCAATGAAATGAAAGTGTTAAACATGTCGTGAGAAAATAGATGTTCAACATTTAACACGGAGAAAAACCCAACGATGAAGAAGGCGGGAACAATGATTGGAATGAGTTCGAATCCATCGGATGGCATGTCTTGACCTTGCGGGCATGATCATTACTGAGTCTTAAAATATACCTTTTATTCATATTAAATATATTGTTCTATCTCTAGCCTAAGTATGTTCTTCATCATATATTGGTTATTGTTACGACACGATGAGTTGGTGTAGATAATAATGTGACTTGCTCATAAGATCTTATAGATTAGGCAGTTATCTTCTAGGTAAGCTACTTAGGTTGTAAATTAATTGATGCGGTACGGTATTGCAGACATGTTAAGGTTCGTTAATCTATATCCGGTGAAGTCGGATTGGCTTTTCTAGAAATGGTTTTTGTTTCTCAAGGCTCACAAACCCGCCATGTGGATATTATTTTGTGAAGAAGTTATTATTCCCAAATCTTGGCGCGCGAGCGTCGCACCATGGAAAAGTATAGTCTATATGCATACCGGTAACACATAAATTATCAGTCATTCACCCCATAGAATAGATATAGGTATATTCCATCACCTGGGAGGGTAAATGGTCACCACTCCCTTTAAACATATTTACTACACCTAACCGTCACTTACGAATTACATGCATATCACTAGTACAAAGGCTTTTGCTCTTGCACTTCATGACATACAAATAACCATAAACACTCCCTAGTATTTACTATCATATGTTTAGGCCGCTTATTTTATTAAACATATGGTAGGCATTTCTTCCAGCTTACGTTCGTTGTACTAACCCATTTGCGTACTCTTTGCATATTACCAACAAACATTAAGTATACAAACCAAAACCTACTCAATTCTTATACATAAGCATACACATTGGACAGCCCGTAAAAATTTGTAAGGAGCCCCGAGTAAATATTTTGGCAACTAAATTTAACAAGTGGTATTATCAATAAAACAAAACACTTAATTAAATTAGTTCAAATATTAGATGGCAACAAAAAAATTTAGAAAATTAACCTTTTACACGTTGTTGCACGTGATTTTCTTTTGGACGATGGTGCAGTTGTATGCGTTCCACCACATTGACGTGGTGTACCACCATAAACATCATAATAATTACAATTATATCTGATTCAAAAAAGAAGGAAAGAAAGAAAGAAAGAAATGGGGGGGGGATAACAGCAATAAATTGTACTAATGTAACCTTTTTCTTAGAAGACTCCTACCTACAACGTACATTGATTACATTCAACATATATATATATACATAGACAGATAGAACATGAATTGGCTATTTAAAATACCGAGCATATTGTTATTGTTGATCATAGAATGTTGAAATCATTTTCATGTTATTTGTTCGGTTTCTTTAGAAATAACAAGATTGTTTTGATTTGTATCTTGTTGTTTATTAAATTAACATTTGAATTCATTTCATGTTGTTTGTTTGTATCTATCCGTTGATGTTTAGAACTGCAATTGGTCAGTTTCTTATTGACATATGTTTATCCTATGGGGATTAACTCGATATTACCTTAAGTTATAAGCATTATAAGTAAAGATCGATAAGGGGCTAGCTAGTGGTTATTGGGACTTAGTAGTTATGTGGATAATGCGATGGTGTCCAAAGTAAACCGGATTAAGTTTGAATCCTGAAGTAGATATCGACTCGGCTGCAGATACATTCATCGGACGAGTCCCAAATACAACGAGGTTTCAGTCTTGGATTCCACTGCTAACCGCCATCCACCTTTACATATATCATTAACATAATGATGATTTTATCAGTACAATTGCATTTGTAGAGATGAGGATTTACAGAGTGATGTTCTAGATTGGCACTAGATGATAAGTCATGTAACATATTGGTTATAATCCAATAGTTTGCATAAAAGATCGATTGCCCTGGGTTCGAACAACAGCTCAGTGCTTTTAAATCTTTAATGATGATTTAAACAATGAAAATAACTATACATGCGTTGATTTCAGAAAGTAGGAACTTTACAGGTCACTTAATAGATGACATTAATTCATCTGAATTATCAAGCATATGTATACGTGTGAAAGAAAAAAAACCCATGCACATTACATTATACTACATACAACTAAATAAATGGGTAAACAGGTGCATTGCCATTAACTATAAAAGGAATAAAGTACAATGTGTGTGTGTGTGTGTGCGTATTGTTGAAATGTATTAAAATAGGCTTAGAGATTAGAATTTACTTAAGACTTAATAAACAATGTCATAACTTTAAAAATTACTTAGATACCAATGTATGTACCGATATGTCGGTGAGATTTTCTTAATTTTTGGAATCCATTAAGTAAGTAATTAAATGGATCATTGAAATTACCATCTGGTCTAAATAATAGAGAATAGATTATCAGTGTTAAATTATGAACATCTTGATGTTATGAGTTATATGTGGAACTTAAAACAACCGTCTGTCAACCAATATCAAAGTCACAATCTTCAATACGAAAATTAAGACAGTTCTACTGTACGGAGCGGAAACGTGGAGAACTACAACAACCATCATCAAGAAAGTATAAGTATTTAATAATAGTTGTCTACTCATGATACTCAATATGCGTTGTAGGCCGGATACAATCAGCAACAGTCTTCTGTAGAAGAGGACAAACCAGCTTCCATCTGAAAAGGAAATTTGGAAATGGATAGGACATACATTACGGAAATCACCAAACTTCATCAGGAAGAAAGTCATAACTTAGAATCCTGAAGGGAAGCGGAAAAGAAGAATGTCGAAGAGCACACTACGTCGGGTATCGGAAGCAGATATGAAAAGGATGAATATCAACCAGAAAGAACTGGAAAGGATTGTCCAGGACATGGTTGGATGGAGAATGCTGGTGGGCGGCCTATATTCCTTCACGAGGAGTAACAGGCGTAAGTAAGTAAGTAACGTTGTTGCAAATGCCGTTAAACAAGACCACTGAATTGTTTATTAGAATAAAAGGTTTGTATAACTTGTTCAATTTGTATTCATATGTATTTCGAACAACGACACGCTAAAAGAGATTGATCAATTACAGTCTTAAATATCAGCGGAAGATCCAAAAATCAATACAAAAATGGATTAAAATCCACCCCACTACACAAGCCAGTGGATATCTGGATTCAGTAGCTAAGTGGATGATATGATAGAGTTTGAAGTGAACGGTACTGACTTCAAGTCCCAGAGTAAACATCAAGCAAGCAAATCTTGTAAATGAGTCTTGAATAGAACGAAACGTGAGTTTTAGATCCCATTGCTAGCCACCAGCCATCTCTGTTCAACTTGTAATTTAATGATAATAGTTGAATATAAACTAGACCACCATTGAAAACCTGGATGAATTGGACAGCCATTTCGTCCTAGAATGGAACTCCCCAGCAGTGCTCTTTCACAATCCCTCAAGTGGGCCTCAAAACCCCGACCTTTGGTCTCGCTAGCGAATACCTACTTCCCTAGACCACTAAGCCTGAATCCAATGGTTTTAAAGCCTAATTTCAATAATTCCATGACCATGCGCAACTCTTCATCCGTTGTCTTCGGTGGATAACAGTATCTTTCCGACATCGACTGGATTCCACTGGTTTGCGCGTGAGACTGAAAGTCCTGGGTTCAAGTCTTGCATTCAGAATGTTGATTAGGAACTGTTGGGGATTTTCGTGCTAGAACGAAATGACTGTCCAGTGCATTCAGGTTTTTCATGGTGCTCTAGCTTTAATCAACTCATGAATTCGACTATTGAAATTCTCTACACTTTTGAAAATAATCAATTTATGAATAATACACACTTGAAGAGAAACTTATTCGTTATGTAACATGAATCAATAATAAAGCAAAACAAAAATATATAGAGAAAAATGAGATTCCTAATAATCTCCACAACCCCTATACTGGTAATTAACATGCACTGATTAGTGACTAGCTTCGTGGGGGAATTCTCGGAGTTCTAGTGAGAAGCCGTGACCAGTAGAGCTAATCCGTGTCGAGTAGAGACAGGTATCTACTTCAATACAATGAAAGATGGTCACTCAATTTCTTGTATTGGTTGAAGTTAGACATTAACACCATTAGATACCGGCTCAGTGGTCTAGTAGGTTAAGTGTTCGCGCGCGAGACCGAAGGCCCTGGGTTCGAATCTCGCGAGCGTGGATGCGCACTGCTGAGCAGTTCCACAATAGGACGAAACGGCCGTCTGGTGGTTCCTAGTTTTCAACGGTGGTTTAACACCAATCGGTTCATGATCTCAATCAAAAATGAAATTCTGATGAATTTCACAATTTTTACACACATACACACACACATATATATGATCATATTCATTCACATTATAAATCAAGATCAATTTTGTATACATTTTCTAATATTAGCACACATTTAAATGTCATATGCACACACATTGATCACAGGGATAGAAACAAAAACAAACAAAAGAAAAATAAAAAAACAGGGAGATGAAGGGAGAGATAATTAAAGATGATGGGAAATGTTGACAAATGTTGAATAAAACAAAAAAAGGAATGTAACCAATCGATCGAAATAATAAATTCTTATCAATGATTTTGTGCATTCATTAATGATAATATAGGTGAATACAAATAGATGATAAATAGTGTAAAATTTACCGTCTATATGGTGGATCTACATAAAATGCTTTATTAGATCGTCTGTAGACAAAATAGATGAAAAGCAAAATAGTAATATATATATATGATTTCATAATGAAAAATTATTACAATTAGTTACATAATAGTATACCCTTATGGGTTAGGGTAATTCTACATTGATTTTCCGAAGAACTCGAACACTATCTATACCTTCATATGATCGATAATAATGATGAAAAATGATTGGTCTAGAAGTTAATCGCTCGTATGCGAGACGGATAAGTACTGGGTTTGAATCTTGCGAGGCAGGATTGTGGATGCGTACTACTGAGGAATCTCACAATAGGACGAAACGGTCATCTAGTGCTTCCAAGTTATCTATAGTAATCTGGTTTCAATTGATTAATGGTCTTAACTATTAAAATTAATATTTTTTATTGTGAATAAAACTAAACAATCAGGAAGACGATAATAAGTATTAATAATGAATATAGTTTTTCTTGTTATATCTCAAAGAGTAGTAAAATTGTATTTTTGACGTTTCGTAACTTAAATAAGCTACTTCGTCAGAGTGAACAGATAAATAATCGATATTAACTTAACACAAAAAGTCGAAAATACAAAATTTCTACTCATTATGATATGAAAAAAATTATATTTATCATTAACTCTCTATCCAATGCTCAATTTATTTGAAACTATCGAGTTCAACAATAGATAGCGGCTAACAGTGGAATCCAGGACGCGCGTTTTTTTCTATTTAAGATTTGTCAGCTTGAAGTACCTGCATTTCAGAGTTTAATGTTCACCCTGGGACTTGAACCCAGTACAGTTCACTTCAAACGCCATCAAGTTATCTACTTAGCTATTGAGTCCTGATAGCCACCTGCTTGTGAACATCAATTCTGAAATACAGGTACATTCAACTGACCAGTCCCAACTAGGACGAAACGCGCGTCCTGGATTCCACTGCTAACCACTATCCATCTCTACATATAACGCTTATGAATTGAGGCAATATCAGGGCAATCCACATAGGGCGCATATATACCAACAAGAGACTGATCAATTGTAGTCCTAAATAACAATGGAGAGATTCAAGTAAAACAACACCGAGTGGGTTTATCAAGTTCCGGTTTGCTATGGATACCCATAATAAGTGTTAGTTGATTTTGAATAACATTTTAAATCTTACATCAACTATTATGAATGACCTTGCCGGGAAGAATGTCTTTTTACTAAAATGTTTTAGATGTTTTGACTTTTGTGATGAACTAGTTTATTACATATACTTTAGAGATACAAAAAACCTAATGAGAAAAATATATTTTAATAGTTGAATTTATGAGTAAATGTAAGCTAGATCATCATGGGAAACTTGAAAATACTGGATGACAGTTTTGTCCTTGTATGAGACTCTTCAGAAGTAAACATTCATGATCTCCACAAACCCCTTTTCTAATAATAATCATCATGTGCTCACTAGTGACTACCTTCAAGATGGATTTCGTAGAGTTCTAGTAAGAAGCTATGACCAGTGGAGTTCAATCCGTGTTGGTTAGAAACAGGTTTCTACTTCAGACAATTAAAGAATGGTTGCGCAGTCATTTATGGATCGATGGAAGTTAGACCGAAGGTCCTGGGTTCGAATCTCGCACTGCAAAGGAGTCCCACAATAGGACGAAACGGCCGTTCAGCGCTTCCAGTTTTTCCATAGTGGCCTAATTCATGATCTCAACTATTGAAATAGTGTTTGTCTCGTTTATTTGTAAGAGAAGCCAAATATTGGCCAATAACCTGTGCTTATCGTTTGACTGATTGGCCCATTGTAGCACTATTTCTATTGTATCAGTTACATACACTACTATCAGTATCGGATTGTAGAGATTATTGAGTGTTACTAATATCATGAATCAAACTGAGATAAACAAGTATTAAAAACCTGGAAGTACTGGACATCTACTTCGTCGTAGTAAAGGACTCATAATGCCCTCAAATGCCCCGGTACGGCCGAGAATGGAGAGAGTCCGCTCTCCCTCTCAAAATGCTCTTACATGGCCACGCTTAAATAACCTCTGCCAGGGAAGTCCTACTCACTACCTTCTCGTGGTGGTGAGGTGTTGTTTACGAAATTGAGAGGACGAAAAGCGAATGTCCGGCTCGGGATGTGGCCCCTTAAGAAAGCCACCTGCATCGGTTTGGGCACCCGGGAAGTACCACAGCCCTCACACGAATCAAATGAGATTTGTGTGGCGCATATGTATCTGGTGCCCCCTTGTACCAATATCTATGTGTTCAAATAAATAATAAAACGATTCATAAACCTCAAAAGGCATTGAACCCAAGATTTTTGTGTTTTATGGTAAACATTCAACTATTAGATTACTAACTTACATTTCTAACTTCAGTTGACTGGCAATAATGAGCCATCATTATTCAATGCTATTGACTGATAAGATATCAAGTAACCCTTAAAATTAGTCTGTTATATTGAATGAATATTGTTGGAAATATTATACTACTACTTACTATATAGAATAGTTAAACTTTATTCAATCATAAGTACTAATAACATTTTCATAGTAATTTAATTTCACTTAATCAGTTGTTGAAGATTCGTATACCAAGTACTTATTTCTTGTTATCAATAAGTTAGGGTAGAAAAACATTTGGCATTGAATAGTATTCTTTCCTTTCTATAATGTTGTCATGCAATACAAATGGTCAGTCAGTCAGTCAGACAGTCAGTCAGCTACAACGTAGGATCAGGCAATATATGTGCACTCAACACAATACAAATGGTAAACTACAATAGTTTATAGAATATTCTAGTCTGTATATTATGTAACTATCCTAATAGTAATCTAAATAAACTACTTATTTAGTTTTAGTGATATATTCAATTATGATCTAGATCTAATTGTATCTCAATTAGTTTCTCTCTTACATTCTATTAAGGATTTTGATTTGGAAAATATCACACACACATACACACACACAAAGCAAAATAAACAATTTTCGGTCATTAAATGATCTTTTAATTCGATTCTCTATTTCTATGATTTCTTCAATTCTTCGGCGGTGTGTGTGTGTGTATTTGTGTCTCACCCCTTCATCATCTTTCAAATCCCTTTTCTAAGCTTACCCACTTCATTTTATACAGTACCGGAGCTTATATTATAAGAAGAGTTTTATGTAGGTAAGAGAAAAACAAGTAGCTTCATTGATATAAGAGTATCCCTGATTATCATCGTTTTTTTCCTTCTTCTATGCATACTTCACTTTAATGAATTAAAAATTAGTATCAGAAGGGGTTTTATGGAGATTGTAGTAATTCCTATAGTTGAATTCATGAGTCAATTGAAGCTAGACCACCATGGAAAACTTGGAAGAACAGAACGGTCGTTTCGTCCTAATATGGGACTCCATAGCGGAGGTTAGGAGCTTGCGTGAGAGACTGTTAAGTACTGGTTTTGAATCTCACGAGGCAGGATCGTGGATGTACACTGCTGAGGTGTTTCATCCTAAGACGAGACGGCCGTTCAGTGTTTTTGGGTTTTCCATAGTGGTCTAGCTTTAATTGACTCATGAATTCAACTATTAAATTAAATCATTATTTAGGAATATTAAAGAAATAACAGATAACTAATGTACTTTACTATGAATTTCTAATTCATTTCAGTCTGTTTTTTGTGCTACTAAATGATCTGATTGATTTCCTGTTGGGTAGTTTGTTATGTCTTCAGAAATTAGATCATTTTTCAAAATTCATCTCATTCTCTAATCATTTTCTCAGTGAGTTGGTAATAAGCCCCTCAAATGCTCTGGTACAGCCGAGAGTGGGGAGAGATAGCTCTCCCTGTCGAAATACTCTCATATGTCTACGTGCATACAACTACTTCCACATAAGCCTTACTCATTACCTTCTCGCGTTGGGAATGTTGGTTACGAAATTGAGAAGACGAAATGTGAATGTCAAAATCATCGATGAACATGGGTTCCAGGATCCTAAGGAAATAAATAGTGTATGGACCGGCTACCATGGGACTGCATCTTCTTACGTTGCACCACTGCCTTGTGGATTAGACCTTTAGGTCAAAAGCTAAGGGAGTGGCCTACTAAAAAACCATCTGGTTCGATTTGTACACCTGGTTAGTATTCTAGACCTCACAGAAATCAAATGGTTTGTTAGGCACATATATTTTCGGTGTCTTCTTGTTTATGTGTTCAAATAAATGGTGATAAGAAAGCACAGTGAAATTGGATCCATTTAATGTTTTTTCTTCTTCATTAAAGTAGGTTTGATATCGTTCTTATTTAGAATTATGCATTCACTGTTCTTCGGCCTTACTAAGATACATGCCACTTTCCTCCATTCACTATGTCTATAATTAACCCAAAAGATTTTATAAATTTTCTCGGAGCTATTTCTAACTATCATCGAAAATTTGAGAATGTGTTACAATATACTACTGAATCAATTAGGATCAAGGGAACGACTCCCAAGTCATGATGATTAAATCAATCCAGAATGAGATGACAATTCATCATGCTTAGTATTGAAGTTAATGTTCGGGTTATAAGTAGTATTTCAGTTTCGAATTAAAACTTAGTATATATTACAAAAAAAGTTCTTCAATCCTAATCTAGAACTCTAACAGTTAAAATACAATCATAAATGGTGAGATTATAATTTATGGACGAACCAATCACGTATAAGATGACAAGTCTAGGATTTTGGCGCAAAATTCACTCATTCAACTGAATAAATAAAGTTTTGGCATTATAGCTGATGTCAGTTCGTGATGAAAAACCCCTAAATCTAATTCCTAAGCCTAACCATCAACTGTAAATCATAATTCCGATTCGTCACACAGATTTATAACCCTCATTTAGGTGGACACTCTCAAGGTCACTTTAGCGTCACTCAAATGTCGTCCATAAATTATAATCTCACCGGTTTGATTTCTAAGTGACAAAAACTAACCATGATCTTCAACACCGTTCAACAGAATAGTTCAACTTTATTAAATCAATCATGTGGTTATTAAAGAGACTATTTGTATTAGATTGTCATAGATTAATTGATTACATGCGTAAACAAACAGTAACTCTCTTTTAGAGAGGAATGAAGTAAAGAATCAATAGGTAATTACACTTTACTACATTCAATATGTTAGAAATTGAATAGAGAGAGCGAGAGAAAGAAGAAGAAGAAGAAGAAGATGGGAGAGAGGATCTCATGATAACTAATAACTTACGTTTGTATTTGATGACGTAAACTTTCCAAATCGAATGTAGTATATGGTCGTATGGATTTATTCATTGGAAATCCTCGACTATCAGCTGGGTAACTGCCTAAATATCTATTAAATTAAAGAGATAAATATTGAAGTCATTTGTTTTTTAAGAGTTCTACTATTCACTATTTATTAATCAACATTCAACCAATCTCAGTAGGGAACTCGAAGGAAATAATGAAGAGAAGATTGGAACAGATCAAATGTTATCATTTATTGATCATAGTAGAAGGTCACATTGTATATTGGATACTAAGATTGGATAAGGTTTGATAAATTTCCTATTAGATGACTATTAAATCAACCAGTATATACCATTCAATCAGGATTTTTCTTCATAACCATTTAAAGTTGTACTATAATTTCTTTTATTACAACGCAGCTATTCTTATTGCTTAGGTATTCTTGAACATCAATTCTGTCGACAAGTTCCCAAATCAGAATAAGGTTGAACAAGAACGAAATTCTATTCCAAATGAAAAGAGTAGATGGAATCAAGAAGTACAATAAGAGAAATGTTAGTATATTGATAATCTCTACATGAGAAGATTCTAGAGTTTTCTTCAAGTATCCACTAACTCTGATTGGATAAAAAAATAGCCAATCAGTATGCAACAACACAATCCTGCACGGAATATACCTTAATCCAATCTATATTCCATTAACAGGTTGGTTACTAATGAATATAAAGAGTTCCTTTTTTTACAAGATCACAGTTTCAGGTCAATCAGTTACTGATCATTCATGTAAGGTTTGATATAAATGTGAGTTTACCAAAGTTACCATATGGGGTTAGCACAAAGAGATTAAGTTTAGCATATCTAGTAAAATGAAATTTAAATAAAAGTTTGTGCTAATGATGTCATTCAGTAGAATGATGAATGCTTCACGACCAAACCATTCAAATCAAAGAACAAGACTCCATCGATATTTGAATAAATTGTCGAAATTCGACTAAATATTCCTGGTTTTCTATGGTGGTTCAGCTTCAATTGACTCATGACTTCAACTGTTGAAATTACTACAATCTCTACAAAAACCCCTTCTGATACTAAACGACTTATGATCACTAGTGACTGGCTTCAAGAGATATATCCCGGAGTTCTAGTGAGAAGCAGTGACCAGTTGTGAGGTAGTAACTCACTTATTACACTGATGGATGTGTTGAAGTTAGACATTAACATCGTTGGATGCTGGCCGGCTCAGTGGTACAGTTGGTCAAGCGCCTGGCGCGAGAATGGTAGGTCCTGGGTTCGAATCCCGCTGGGCGAGGTCGTGGATGAGCACTGCTGAGGAGTCCCACAATGGTACGGAACGGCCGTCCGGTGCTTCCAGGTCTTCCTTGGTGGTCTAGCTTCAATTGACTCATGATCTCAACTGTTGAGATTAAATATTCATTTCATGAAACGATGTTATTATTATTGGTAAACAGATGTAAAGAGCAATCCACTTGAAACTTTATTCAGACAGTCAATATCTCACTTGTAATCTTCCGAGTACTATATTGAATCGGACAATTTCAGATATCAGATCGTATGTGAGCGACCTCAAGCGGTTGTCCCTTGGGTACTGCGATCACGTTCTCAGGTCACTATGACCACGTCTTATCCAATTTTCTTTTCATGTACCTCCAGAAGAACCTTTTCACGGTGTAGGGAACCAGGAATTGATAACTACCCTTATACTTCTAACACTACTCAAGAACATTGTATTCATAATCAATTTCCCTCTTTAATTCCTATTATTCTTCCTACATTGACTGACGTTTTAGTTACAAAGTAGGAGACAGTAAATATTAACAATGAGTATCAACAGATCGCTAAGTCAATCAATCAAGAAACTTATAGGATCTCATATAGATATTTACTGGTTCATATCCTAAAACTAAGCTTAATCACTTACTTCATCTAATTTAACCATTTTAAAGAACTATCATAGTTCATCTTTTGTGTTCCTCGATATTCCACAACGTCTAATAGTTTTATAGGCATCGGAAAAACGGTAAGTTAAAAACAGGATCAGTCATTTCTAAACTAAATCTTAATCAATCATTGTTTATCTGCTATCTAATTGAATATCATTGTAAGAACTCAAAAGATAGATGTTATCAGTATAGGATTGTGGAGATTTAATTGAGATCATGAATTAATTGATGTTAGATCAACATTGAAAATCGGAGAGCACTGGACGACTGTTTCGTCCTCCTCAGCAGCGCATATCCACAATCCTGTTCTCGGGATTTTCACATTTTGATTGATGTATTCGACAACAAATTAGTCACTTCAACTGAGCATTCGTACACTACAATATAAGTTTTGTTTTTTTCTTCTGCACAACTAATCTATTCACCAAATCTATCACCTGATTGGGTAACAACGGATTGAAATTTGCTGAGGTAGTTTCAAACACATCCCTACATTACACAACTCTTGTAGGGAACATGAAGACCAGTGGAGACAATTGGACGTATTTGATACAAGATTACAGGACTTGTTAATAAAATCTAACAATCAAATAGTAAATGCTTAATTTGCAAAATGTCCACCAGTTGTCTCAAATTGCATCCTGTTTCCATTCTCTACTGTTCGATCCTCTTGTCTCTCTGCTGCCAGACCTTCTGTTCATGACTCACATCATATACTACTTATCTCAATATAAGTAGCACACACCACACTCTTAAAGACAGTTACAACGATATATCACTAGTCAGTAATTGTGAATTAATGTTTTATTAACAAAATAAACAAACAAAAAAACGATCCAACTTTCTTTTACTCTGTTCAACTTACTCTTGACTTAAAGCAACCTCTAATGGACGATCACATGATATACAATGATAATGTTGCATAAGACTACGTTTTAAACCAGCAGCAGCATCATCTGTTATTTGTCTAGTTGGTGATGTATCATGTGTAAATGAATTCAAACGTTTATTTATTGATTTAAATCGTTTCTCTAACCATTCTCTTAATTGTTCCATTTCATCACGATCTAATTTATTTTCCATAGTTTCTTGTAAATCGATTAATAATGATTTGAGTTCATTTTCCTGAAAAGATAAATAGTTTCTTATTGAAGGGGAATAGTAACCAGACAATTAGACTTTGATAAATTAAATGAACCAATTCTGATAAATTAAATCATAAACCGATCTAAGTTAGATCACTATTAGAAGCCTGAAAGCAGTGAATTGTCAGTTTATCCTAGTTTGAAGTATCACTCTGTAAAGTTGCTAACTTCCAGTTTGAGCCACGTTGGTAGATGTAGATTGCTTGGTTGAGATCCACGTGACTATCGTAATCAATGGTTGGAGACTCTGGGTGGCTCAATGGTGAGACTAAAATTACTTCATATCTTTCTTTCTACGAACTAACTCTTTCTTCCTGTACTATGTCCTTATATGCTATCTTTCCGTTATATGTTACACCATTGAATTGACTGCTTCTATGAATCAGGTGTTCATCTTCTTGTGCTAATGAATGTATGGCAGTTTGGACCGATGCATGTTTATGCTTGGTCCTACGTTGTAACTGACTGACTGTCTAAGTTTAAGGTTCCTCAGCAGTGTTCATCCACGATTCCGCAACTAGGAATTCAACTCAGGACCTTCAGCTTCAAACGTGAACACTTAACATCTAGACCATTAAGCCGGCATTTGATTGTGTGGAAGTGTAACTTCAGTCAGTACGTGATATTACTTGATCATCTTTCATTTGTTTTCAAATTACTAACTAAGTAACTCAAGCTAAACAGTTTCTCTTGGTGGCGTACTTACTATAAGTAGTAAAATTATTAAGCTACAGTTGAAATATCTTAGATGAAGAGATTTTGTGAAGATTGACTTAATTTGTTGATTGTATTTGTCTGAGATCGATCTCAGTGGAGGTAACAATGGTAACCAGGAAGCACTAGGAAACATGTAGCCATAAACCATCAGGTGTTGGACCCAAGACTTTCAGTTCTTAGAGACAGTCCCATATTAGGAGGAAACATTTGTCTCGTGCTCATTCATCTTCATTCATATCACAACTTAAGTCAGTATGCGACAAATACAGCCCACAACCAAATTACTTTGAATAACTATATGTACGTACGTCAATGTTATCGATCTTTGAATTATGAGTGCTCATATGAGTGAGGATTGGCAGAGCAAAGATAAAATCCCTACAGTTGAAGAATATATAGAATTCAAAACAACTGTCAACCAATGTCCAAGTCGGAATCATCAATATGAACGTTAAGACAGTCATACTGTACGGAAATGAAACGTGGAGAACTACAACAACCATCATCAAGAAGGTACAAGTATTTATTAATAGTTGTCTACGCAAGATACCCAATATCCGTTGTTTGCCAGATACGATCAGCAACAGCCTTCTTTAGGAGAGAACAAATCAGTTTCCATTTGAAAAGCAAATTAGGAAAAGATGCTGGAAGTGTATAGAACATGCATAGAGGAAATCATCAAACTTCATCAGGAGGTATGTCCTAACTTGGAATTCTGAAGAGAAACGGAAAAGAGGATGGTCGAAGAACACACTACGTCGAGAATTGGAAGCAAACATGAAAAGGATGAACAGAATTTGGAAACAACTGGAAAGGATTGTTCAGGATAGAGTTGGATGGAGAATGCTGGTGGGCGGCCTGTACTCCTCGATGAGGAGTAACTGGCGTAAGTAAGTAACAAAGCATCCACAAATTCATTTGTCTAAGTCTATGTATACATTAAACAGGTAAAACTTCCTACATAGTTTCATTTTCTTTTACTGTATTTAGTTGAGATATGGATTTAGTATTCATTTATTGATAAAACATTCAATCACGAATATGAAATAAAGTGCCCCAGGGTACAGTTTTGGGGCCAGTGCTATTCCTCTTGTATGTAAATGACCTTCCTTGTCTCCTATCATCATCGGTCTTGCTATAATATTCTGACGACGTCAAGATATGGAAAACGATACGATGTAAGAGTGATAGCTTAGAACTTCAAAATGACCTGAAGAAGTTATCTGAATGGTCTCAAACATGGCAGTTGCCGATAAATACTTCCAAGTGTGTTGTGATGCATATCGGTCATCAAGGCACAGATACATACACGATGAATAACACTGAGCTACCTGTCGTCCAGACATATAATGACTTAGGAGTTATCGTTAGTCAAGACTTAAAGACTAGTGCACACTGCCGTGCAATAGCCGCCAAAGGTTTTAGAACCTTATGGTCAATACGTAGGGCTTTTAGTCATGTCGACGCTAAGACGTTTTTGACTTTGTATACAGTGTTCGTTCGTCCTAAACTTGAGTACTGCATACAAGCGGCTAGCCCCTGCTTAAAAAAAGACAGTGAGCTCCTGGAAAAGGTTCAGAGAACGGCGACTAAGCTGGTTCCCGGAATAGCGAAGCTTCCGTATGAATCTCGACTGGTCAAGCTGAACCTTTTCCCGTTGTCATATTGCAGAACTAGAGGCGACTTGATTACAGTCTACAAATTGCTTAGTGATAAATTTGCACCTAACATGCCCTCATTTTTCTTGTCTTCCGAAACAGAGAATTTACGAGGACACTCCAAAAAAGTTCACAAGCCGAGAACAAATTACTTGTCAGCTGACTATCGACTTTCCCATCGAATCATCAACGAGTGGAATTCACTACCTCAGCACGTGGTTGAGGCTCCATCCGTCGACTCTTTCAAAAGAAAGTTGGATCAACTGAGAGACCACCATTGCCAGGACTAACATAAGCCATCGAGCCTCCTGTTCTTCCCAAACTGAAACTGAAACTGATATACTACTTTGAATAGTAATGAACTTACCGCTACATTTAACTTGGCGAATAGATCTTCAATTAATTTTTCAAGTGTTTGATTTGTACTATCAAATTCTAATCGATTAATGAAACTTTTTACATCTTCTCGATCAGCTTTCTACAATTCAATATAATAAAGATAAAAGTAATTCACTGGATAGTTTACATGAAAAAGCAAACCAAAAAACAACAACTTCATACCATTTGAATGAACTTAAGATTTGCCTTAATAAACAGAAAGACATTTAAATCTTTATTGAAATACTCATATTATTGTAGACAATCGGTAGATAGTGTTAAAATGAATGAAGTGTCATGTTATGAAGAAAAGAATGGTACTGGGTTCGAGTCTTGGAATGAACATCAACTCTGAGATGAGGTATATCCAGCTGAAGAGGAAACGCGCGTTGTGGATTCCATTGCTAACCACTATCTATCTTTGCTTAAAAAGGCTTGTGACCTAAGGCTATATCGAAGCAATCCGTACAGGATGCACATATATTAATATCGGACTAATCAATTGCAGTCCTAGACATCAATGTGAAGATTCAAGTAAACAATACCAAGTGAATTTAAACATCACACCAAGTGTTTATCAGGACTGGGTATCTAAGTGGACAACACGATAGCGTTTGAGGCGAATGGTACTAGGTTCAAGTCTCGGAGTGCGGATCAATTCTGGGATACCGGTACATCCAGCTAATGCGTCTCAAATAATATGAAACGTGCGTTCTCCGTTACACTGCTATCTATCATTTATCTTTGATTATAAAGCTTGTGACTTAAGGCAATATCGCAGCAATCTGAATAGAATGTATATATACCATTAAAAGACTGATCAATTGTAGTCCTAAACAACAATGAGAAGATTCAAACAAACAATACCAAATGAAGCTAATCATTTACAATTGTTTTCATCATATTTGTTTCATTATTCATGTTTTATTAAACTCAAGTCATGTTGACATGTTGATTGACATGTTGATTTCTTAAATTTCTTGAATTGAAACCTTGAATAAATAATTCATTCATTACAAATGGATAAACAGATAACATCGTCATAATTTGCCTTTTTTTATATAGTAAAAAAAGTGGTTGCCTAGCCTAGTCTGTCTAGCTATCTGGTGAGAAACCGTGACCAGTGCAGCTAATCCGTGTCGGGTAGAAACAGGTGTCTACCTCAGTACAATGGAAGACGGTCGCGCAGTTTCGTGGATTGGTTAAGGTTAGACATTAACACCACTGGATGGCGGCTCAGTGGTCTAGTAGGTTAAGTGTTCACGCGTGAGACTGAAGGCCCGGGGTTTGAATCCCGCGAGCGGGGTCGTGGATGCGCACTGCTGAGCAGTCCCACAATAGGACGAAACGGCCGTCCAGTCCTTCTGGCTTTTCAATGGTGGTCTAACATCAATCGGCTCATGATCTCAATCAAAAACTTAACAATCTCCAAAACCCCTAAACTGATATCTATCTATCTGTTTCTTTGCATACTGACTTGTCTACTTGAATTTATAACAATTTTAAATTATATTAGTTGAATTCATGAGTCGATTTAAGTTAGACCGCCATGGGAGACCTCGAAGTTTTGGATGGTTGTTTCCTCCCAGTAATGGGACTTCTCAGAAGTACACGTTCACAGTCCCGTACGTGGGAATCGAACTCAAAACCTTCGGTCTTGCGTATGAACACTAAACCTCTAGACCACTGAGCTGGCCAGCATTCAATAGTGTTAATGTCTAACTTTCATTGATCCATAAATGACTGCGTAACCGTTCATCCGTTTCATACACACAGTTCCCTTTATTATTTTGAAAAGAGTAAGAACAATGATTCTAGCAGAATAGCATGAATTCATTTTTATTTCGTTGGTTCTCGTCAGCTCCTTAAAACCTGGGATATTTAAGAATCACAATTATATAGTGGTTGTAAATAACTTACATGAAAGAGTTTGGTTGGAAGTTATATTGAGGACACATTATTATAGTATAGTAAGGGTGAAAATAAAATTAATAGACTGAATCAGAATGGGGTTTTGTGGAGATTTTTAAAATTTCACTGGTTGAAATCATGAGTCAATTAAACCTAGACCACCATGGAAAATCTAGAAGCATTAACATCGTTGGATGGCGGCTCGATGGTCTAGTTGGTTAAGTGCCTGACGCGAGACTGATAGGTCCTAGGTTCGAATCTCGCAGGGGGCAGGATCGTGGATGCGCACTGCTGAGGAGTTCCAGACTGGGACGAAACGGCCGTCCAGTGCTTCCAGGTTTTGCATGGTGTTCTAGCTTCAACTAACTCATGATTTTAACCAGTGTAATAGACTGAATATTGTAAATATATACCTTATATGATAAAAGAACATTCTACAACGTTGATCGTGACAACAGTTCAAACGCCTAGAAACGAGTGATTACATAATGAGTAAACATTGATAGGAATAAAATGAGCAAAGCTCAGTTGATAAAAATAAAATTACTAATCTAGAAGATAGTTGAAATAAAAACTCAATGGTGTAATCAATACAAGAAAGAGTTTAAAGGAAAATGTCTAAGATGTCATAAAGGATTATTTGTCATCAAGGCAAAAAAAGAAAGATTAATAACCATCTCATATTGAACGCATAAATCAGGACCTTAAGCCTGATAGTAATGACTTGAATGAACTTCAGAAGACAGGAGTTTGGCTGCTTATTAGTCACCTTGAAAGATTCCAAGGTAACGATCTGATGTCTTGGAGATGTTTAGTAATTACATTGTCTGAGCTAGATACCTGTCTCGCTAGCTTAGATAGACTCATGAATTCAATAATTAATATGATTGCAATCTTTACAAACTCCATTCTGATCGTAGTTTCGAATTATTATTATTGTTGTTATTATTATTATTTCAACATTTGAGATCATGGGTCAATTGAAGCAAGACCACCAAGGAAGACCTGGAAGCACCGGACGGCCGTTCCGTCCCATTGTGGGACTCCTCGGCAGTGCGCATCCACGACCCCGCCACGCGGGATTTGAACCCAGGATCTATCAGGCTCGCGCCAGGTGCTTAACCAACTAGATCACTGAGCCGGCCAGCATCCAACGATGTTAATGTCTAACTTCAACTAATTCACGGAATTGAGCGACACATCCACCATTGTCATCAGCGAGTTACTACCTCAAAACTGACCCGGTTGAACTCCACTGGTCACTGCTTCTCACTAGAACTCCAGGATATATCTCTTGAAGCCAGTCACTAGTGAGCATATGTTGATTAGTATCAGAAGGGGTTGGAATTACTACAATCTCCACAAAGCTCCTTCTGATATTATAATTATTAAACTGCCTAAAACAATAGGCATAAGTTATTTTATTTTGAAAGAAGATAAACCATGGAAACTTATAAAGTTTACATAATAGTGAGTAGTAAAGAACTCATTTATCTTCATTTGTTTACTGAGTTTTTTTAAAATATTCACTTAATTTTATAATATCAGTCCGTCAGTCAATTTGTCAGATACAACGTAGGACCAAGCGTACATATACATCGGTTCAAGTTGCCATATCTCATTAGCACAACAAGATGAACAGCAATTTCAATAAAGGAGTTACTTCAATGGTAGTAATATATAAGAGAAAGAGTGTATATAAAAGAACTAGCTCGTAAAAGGAAAGGTATAAAGTAATTTTAATCTGACGATTTAAGGGAACATTAATAGTGTATACACCTAAGCCAATGTGATCGATTCTGAACCATGTCACTCAAAGTATCTAACCATTAGTTACGATAGTCAAGCGGACCCCAACCAAATAGCTTGAATATACCAACATGGCTAAGACTAGAAGTTAGTGACTTCAATGACTGATGCCACGTTTTGGTTTGGCCGCCTCTAACTCTTCCAATCATCCCCTACACTAGTCAGTATAGCGCGTCGTGGTACTCGGTGTTCAGGCATACGTAACACGTGACCCAACCATCTCAGTCAATGAAGATTCACAACCTCATCAACTGATTTACCATCATTCCTTAATACTCTACATCTAACCTCAATATTACTCACCCGATGATCCCAGCAGACGCCAAAAATATTTCTAAGGCATCTGTGGTCAAATATTAGTAATTTACGAGTATCTTCAACTCTGAATGGCCATGTTTTGCAGCCGTAAGTGGTTTTCTAGCTAAGATCATTCTATGGTGCAAGTTATGAAAGTATTAAGAATTGTTTAAGTTGATTAAATGAATGATTTAAATGATAGACACTAGCTAAATATACTACTGAGTAATATGATTGTTATCTTCATTATATATCATGTATCCTTTAGGTTTGCTATATCCCATTACTTCCAAATAACACAATACATATTTTGTTTATCTCTTTCTATTCATATCTTACTATTACAATCATGATGTACATACTTACCTACCCACATACCAACCTATTTACCTACCCACCTACCTACATACCTACATATCTACATACCTACATATCTACCTACCTATCTATCTACCTACCTACCCACCTACCTACCTAGCACACATTTGATGTAGTTTTATGAGTATTTGACCAAAGAGATTGAAAAATGGTCTAATCCAGGATGAATTTAGAAAGAGAGATAAATTTCACAAGTATAAAATGTCAATAATGAAATGAGTATAAATGATATTCATCTCTTATCTTTGACAAGTATAATCAAATGTCTGTGGTAAAATGAAAAGAAGAGATAATTAAAGGAATTCATGATGTGATCATATATCAATAAGATGGATGAGCTGATAAAAATTTGTCCATAAGTGTTGTGACTTTAAGCAGGGCTAGTTATCTCGTGATTCATTCGCCAATCTAAATACGACTTATTCGATCTTAGTACTATGCTAACGCAATGACGTTCGACTAGTATGAGCAGCCTAGAATTCTTATTGATCCTTTGTTCGGTTAGCCCGTTCAAGTCGAGTTCAGAGCCGCGAATAACAGCTTACACTGTGCGAACCATTTATTTCAAATATACTTGGTTTATATACAGACAAACCGCACCAAACCATAAACTAACGAATAACATTTATACAAGATCAAGCCAAAAAGTGGTTGTGAACGTAGAAGACGGTAATCAATAAACTGAATATAATTTAAGAGCAGTAA